TATGCATACTCATTTCTTAGCAGCTGGATCTAACTTCTGTAGTCTGAAGTCAAGATCAAGGTATTGCTGCACCAGAAGAGTAAAACACTTTCCAGAAAACCGCAAAATTCATCTACAGCAAACCAAATAACTTGGTTTCATGGATGCCAGTGACAGCCAGCACACCACAGACACTGCGAGGCAAACCTGCTGTGCACAGCTATACAGTCACTTCTCACCACATCATTCCCATCTTACTGTTATTTGAACCTCCTTTCAGCAAAGGCCACCAGCTGCAAGTAGCTCTGTATAGATTACTCAATTATCTGTGCGTAAGCTCATTTTGTTTGTGACCTAAATCTAGATCCTACTTGGACACAGAATAGATGAGGTAAAAGGCGGGATGCTTTTCAGTCAGTTGGAAATAGCAATTGAAAAAGTGTGTAGGAAGTTTAAGAGCTCACCCTAGCCATGGCTTGTGTCCTCCAGCCTCTACAACGTCAGCTGCAGGGAAAACGAAGCTAGCGATTGATAATCTGGTCTAAATCAGAGACACAGTCTGAAGTGACGAGAACTGCACTCTCAACCAACGATTCTCCTCAGCCTCCACCGACAGCCAGTCTGAGAACACCATGGCCGCACGTGGCCCTGGGCAGGAGCACACAGGACCCCACACATAGGAGCCCATGCTTCCCTGTGCCAGGGGTGAAACACCTGTATCTCCTCTAGACCGCATCCTTTTGATTCAGAATTTTACTCTCCAAAAACGCTCTGTAATTCAGGCCGATTCTACCTTTCCCCTGTAGGGGTCACATGTAAATCCTGTATATGGCTGTGCTGTAGGGTGTCTGCAGGCAGGCTGGGTTGTACACCACAACTGCACAAAATCTCTCTCTGCACTTAGAATGCAGATTTGGTGGTAGCAGCCACAGCTGAACCAAACGAGATGCACATCCTCCATGGCTCCGTCAGTCACAAGCAGTCGCAGAACCAGAACAGACCTTCCTTCCAGCCCCCTGCCTGGCTCCCTGCTGCTCATGTCACCCCAGGGCTCTGCACAGGAAAGCCATCCATGGCACCTTTTAGTTGCCATAAGGGATGTCTCAGCCCTCAGCATCACCAGGACGGCACCTTCTTCCAGCAACGAGAAAAGTATCTCTGGTTTCTAATCTCATTCAAAGCCACCCCGAGTCAGTCTCCTATTTAAAGATCACTCAGAAGCCCCCTGGTTTTAACATATGCCCTAAATCAGAAAATATTTAGGGCAAAACCCCAGCAGCACTGGAGATATAAGCAGTCTGAGCAGTTGTAGCCTCTGCTCTGCTAGTCTTCTCCTCACTTGGTTTGCTGGTGATCCATGGCAAAGGTGACCTCCTTCAAGATCCCAACACATCCGGTAGCAGATGTACTGGCCAGGGGGAAGAGGGAGGTGTCCTGGGCAGGGGTGTCATGGGCTGGGCAGGGATGGGGCAGGAGCTGCAGGGGCCATGCCACGCCGCTCCCACGCAGCCACCGCAGTCCTCACCAGCTCTCAGCTCCAGGGCCATCATGGAGATGGCACAAGGAAGCTCAAAGGTCCCAACCACTCACTGGCTCCTCCTGCTCCTGATACGGTCTCACATTCCCACATGTTGCTCTGTGTCCTGCTCCAGCACCCACCTCCTGCGGCCCCTTAGCAGCCTGACCAGCACACTCACACATCCTGGAGGGATGCATCCTCAACTGGAGACTTAAACCTTGAGGCATGGCTCAAAACCACCGCAGATGGAAAAGAAAACACAAGGAGGGGACGACAGGAAAAAGATTTGGGAACCCCTGTCCCAACTTTCTATATTCCATAGTGTTTAATCTATGTTTTCTCTCCCTGTAAATAGTATTCCAGGGCACAGTCTATCTATTAACAAAAAGCCTCTACCCAGGAGAGCAGCGATGCTCTGGGAACAGCCTCGGGGCAGCACAGTGGGTGCAGTGGCTGCCGGGCTACAGAGGCCATTCTGTGCCACGGGACTTAAGGCAACTGGGAAGCACTGGTCAGGTCTTAATAATGGCATGTTTTGCAACTGGGATTCCACAGCCTTTGAAACCGGGCCTCCAGATAATACGCCATTAAAACCAAGGAAATAGCATGAATGGAGTCAGGAATTGTGCACGGATCATCTGGGAAACCTCCCTCCCTGAGGAAACCACACTGAGCACCCTCCAGCCCGCCTGTGTATCCCCCTGCCCACAGGAGCTACACTGCACCCCTGGCTTACAGCAATTCCCAGCATAGTTTCCTCCACATTGCCCAACTTCTTTTCCAACACTCCTGAGACCTCTCAGACTGAAAAAACAAACCCTAAAAGAAAGCCGAATCGTACCTGGATGGGTTACGTGGGGTCCACACCCATTTTACCAGGGTACGGAGCCTCACCACTGATAGGGAAAGGGACTACACATGATAACCTGAAATTTCCAAGGCCACCTCTGGCACAATGTGCCCTCCCTCCTCACAGTGGTGTCTCTGCTCCCGTGATGCAGCTTACACAGAGGTTTCCTCCCTGTTAACACAAACACACAAGCACAGGGAGCCCCGTTTGCTCCTTGGCTTTCTGTCTATATAGCAAGAAACCACACTCTTACCTGAACATCCACCAATCCAGCCTGATCAGTTCCCCGACCAAAACCTGTTAATCAAGCAAAATACAGCTAATAGGCAAATTACATCTTGCAGCAGCTGCAGGACACTGCTGGCTGCCTCCTCTCGAGCCCCAGCCATTGCTCAGCACAGGCAACAGGCAGCTGACGGCAGGACCCTCTGCCCTCCTGGTGGCAGGAGCAACGGGACACCTCCGGATCGGTGGATCCAAGTCACAGAACCCCAAATTTCGTGTGAGAAATTGACCCCTCTGTATCTTCAGATCCACCCATCTGGACCAACAGGGTCTGCACAGGGAATCCCCAGCAGCGCCAAGCCAGGACTTATCTTGGGAGGGCGCCGAGGCCACTCCGCTCCATCGGGCTGGGGAAGAGAAGCAATTCAGTGAATAGAAACACATCGTGCATCAGGAACGCAGCCGGTCCGGGAGGTCTGGAATATCCAATTCAAGTCAGAAGTCTAGAAAGGTTTCTAGACAACAGAGGAAAATCATTCCAGGCTCTCTGAGAAGCAGGTGGGAGATGCAGAGACATCACCATGATGCACCAGCTGCAAGACAAACACGTGAGAGAACCACGCAACCAGGAGATGTGGATGATGCTTTTGAGGAACAGCATCCAGGACAGACAACACAAAGGACGTGAGGATAAACCGGCTGTATCCAAGCTTAGCAAAGCCTCAACACAGAGAAAGCAATCCAACCAATATCCACCTCCTTCACACAGAAATGGCTATTACAGCTTGTAGCCTCCCAAGAAAGCTTTAGCGCAGACACATCACCATAATTTTTGATACCTGAACAACTAACACATCCAACCCAAAACACTTCCAAGCCCTCAGAACCAGTTACACCATTGACCAGCCCACCCCTGCCAAAAACTGCAGCTCCCATGCAGAAAGAAGAGCACCTTCTTAATGGACAACGCTGACAGTCACTTGCACAAACACGAAACTTCAGATGTCACCGACTAACAATGAAAGCTCTTCTGTGCTAGACAGGAGCCCCTGTGAGTTCCAGTGAACTCCAGACAGAAATTCATGTAGAAAAACACAGAAAAGTCAAATCCCTATAGATGGCTGATGATGGGAACTCAGTAGCTGAGACTAAGTCCTTTATTTAACGGACATGGGAAGGTCTGAGAGAGAGGAGAGTCCCAGATGGGATTCTTAAGAAAATTGCTACAAAGGTTTGATGATGTTGATGGAGAGATAAAACAAGTGAATATATAAATGCTAGCTCTACAACCAGCGAGAATACTCTGTTTTGAGATTGGAAAAGAGAGAAAAGGAGAGAGGACTCCTCAAAGGTCATTTGGGGTGGTAAAAAGAATCATCCAGAGTACTCTAGAATTTCTAGATGTTGTAATTACTGTTGATAACTCATCAGAAACATATTTCTAACTCCAACTTGCTTGAAAATCTCCAGCATGAAGAAGCTACCAGAAATAGGAAGAGAGCCCAGAGGGAGCATCCTGGGGAAGCAGAAGGTGCTGAGCTCAAGGAGCAGGGCAGCGACATGCAGGGCCAGGCAGCAGCAGCCTGTGACCAGGGACACCCCATGGTGGGGCACGCTGCAGGCTCAGTCTCGCCACCGACAAAACTCTAGAGACCAGCTGGGGAACTCTGAGAGAAAAAGTTTGGGACACCTTTGCATGCATTCTGCCACACGTACAGGCTGTGGGTGCATCACCCATCCATCTAGATTGGTGGATCTGAGGATACAAAGCTACTATTTTCTGTGACAATGTCCTACTGTTATTTCTGAGCGTCAGGAACAGCTCTGTGCCACACCTGTGTTCACCTGGGGTAAGGACATGCTGTAGCTGGCTGTCTAGAAACCTCAGTGAGAGCTAATCCCTGCTAACTCCCTGACTTCTCCATGTTGGAAGAATGACAATCCTCGAACTTTTGTTTATTTTAGTGCTGAAAAAAAAAAAAATCTAGCACAGTTATGTCTTTTACAAGTAACACAGAAACAAGAACTTCTCTCTAACAAAAAATAATAAGAACTGAATAAAGAGACAGGAAAATGAGAGTGAATAGGTCTGGAACTTCATTATAGGCATATCTTGAATTAGCAGCTACAATTTATCTCAATTTAATCCATTCTGGAAGGCACTAGCTCCAGTGTAGAACAGAAAGATCCCAAATATAACCTTTGTTTAATTCTGGGGTGGGGGACGGGGGGAGAGGGGGGGAAGGGGAGGGTAAGGGAAACAACAAATAAAACCAAACCAAAAAATTCTTCTACTGTGACACAAACTGACAGATTTGAGCAACCTGCAAATCACTGAAGTAATCAAATTGCATTTAAAATAACCCTGCACATGGCTAAATAATTTCAAAGTTGTTCCACCAGTTGTGCCTTAGGCTTTATACTCACATGTGTGGATTTTGGAAAGGAACCCCAGAAGTGTTTAGAGTAAATCTTGCTGTGGACTTGAAAGGTGGATTTGCAAAATTTAACTTCAGCGCTTTGCGTTTACCTAGGAGACAACAAACACAAAGTAAACTTTTTGTCAGCAACAAAATATTAAGAGATCTGGCAATAAACAGGAGAAGTTAAACACAATGTAAGAAAAGGAAAACACATTTCACAACATTAGCAAGTCATAGCTTGTGTTAGGGCCCCAGGGATGGAGAAACAGAGTCAGCTCTCACCCCAAGGTCTTCCCCATCTTATTCCAAGTCAGTGCCAAGCGCCTCCTGTGAGACCTAGACCCCCAGGAGCAGCTGCCAGGGGCATGGGGCACCTCCACACGGAGCCCTCAGCACCTTCCACACACAACCGTTCCTTTCAACAGACCCACGACAGGCTCAACTGCAGCCACGGTGGCAAAGGGGTCTGACCCGTTGGTGACAGCCTGGGCAAGCCACCAGCCACAGGGTGGATGGCACTGGGGAGGGAAGGGCACCTTGAGGTGTATTTTATGTTACCGCCCAACTGTAGGAGGGGTTCCTGACAGGGCTTCTGACCCTCCTCAGCAAACAGAGACAACCAGGCTTGAGCGAGGACGGAGGAGATCTGCTGTGCACTCCCTTCTGCCACGTGGGACACCAAGCAGAGAGCAAAATTGAGCCCATCGGAGGGTGCTCTGCCACCAACAGAGAAAGCATGGGGAAAAGAAAATAAATAGATGGGTGGAAGTGGTCCTGGTCACCGCTCCAGCCACTGGCTATGTATTTTTTATGGAAGCTGAGATAACCTGCTTGAGCAACAGCAGGGTCAGGGACTTCAAAGGGAGATGTCCTTTCCCAGCCTTCCAGGCTGCAGAAGCCCCTCTCTTGTTCCTGTGTGGCTGCAGGAAACCTGTGCTCCTCTCCACCAAAACATGCTGACAAGGCCATCTTCCATCCCACCCTCCCAGGAGCCTGCAAGTGAAGCCCCTAGGCTTTCTGCTGCCGGGGTGACGTCTTAACAATTCACTGCTGCTCATCCCAGGAGGCACCAGCCACCCAAACCTGGCCCAATACCTGGATTCCTCCAACACCCTTCCTTTTCCCGCACCCTAGAGCATTCCCAGCCATCCCACAGCCCTTCTGCGAAGGCATCATCCTACTCTGCAGCATTTCTCTACCTCACACAAAGAGGTGTTCTGGATAACTCCAAGACCAAAAATCAGAGAAAAAGCTAGTTACAGGTCAAAGCACTTTACCGCAATTTTAGGGCATGAAATATTACAATGATCATAAAATCACAGAATCATTTAGGTTGGAAAAGATCTTTAAGATCATCAAGTCCAACTATCAACCTATCACTGCCAACTCTACCACTAACCCATGTCCCTCAGCACCACATCTTCATATCTTCTAAATACCTCCAGGGACGGTGACCCCACCACTGGGCAGGCTGTTCGAAGGCTTGACAACCTTTTCGGGGAAGAAATTTTTCCCAATATCCATCTTAAACGTCCCCTGGTGCATCTTGAGGCTGTTTCCTCTTGTCCCATCACCTGTTCCTTGGGAGAAGAGACCGACCCCCCTGGCTACACCCTCCTTTCAGGGAGTTGGAGAGAGCCAGAAGGTCTCCCCTCAGCCTCCTTTTCTCCAGGCTGAACACCCCCAGCTCCCTCAGCCTCTCCTCTCCATACTTGTGCTCCAGACCCCTCACCAGCTCTGTTGCCCTTCTCTGGACCCGCTCCAGCCCCTCAATGTCTTTCTTACAGTGAGAGTTTCTAAGTTCAGGCTCTCACTGCACATGTGCCCAATGAACTGCAGAAGAATCACTTAAAAGAAGCCAAAGAGCATAATTCGCCCTTATAAATCACCCAGAAACAAAGAAGGAGTTGAAAAAAACCCAAAAAGGTGCTAAAACCAATTCTACCATTTTCTGCAGAACTTACCACCCCTCCACGTCTCTGATGTCAATCATCCACAATGTTCTGAAAGATCAGATGTTTGCATGACCGATGGGAATATTCATAGACTCACGGAATAGTTTGGGTTTGAACAGACCTTCAAAGATCTTCTAGTTCAACAGCCTTGCCATGACAGGGACATCTTCCCCTGGATCAGGTTGCTCAAAGCCCCATCCAACCTGGGCCAGCATCCTACCACCCCCAACATAAAAATCTACCCAAAGCTAACCCAAACAGTGTTGTCAGCCAGCAGAGGCACAGAGCAATCTCGATCTCACATCTGTCTCTTGGGAAGTTCTGCAAGGCTCCTCAGAAGAGCATGGCTGCAGGCAGGTCTGTCACTACCAAGGAACCAAAGGTTTCCTGGCAGGACGCTCTGTGAGCCCACAACCTGTCACACGGCGGCAACACTGCGCTGCTGCCAGACCGGCCTCCAAGACCTCTTCTGACCACATCCCTGATGGCATCTCCCTTCTTACACAGAGCAAAACCAGCCTGAGTTCACAACTGCCAAGGACCGGGGGGATGCAGACACGTACCAGTCACGTGCATTTGCCTGAAACCTCCCCCAGCTCCTCTCCTGGTCCTCATCCTCCTCCCCAGGTCCTGCCCAGCCGCTGTGTAGACAGGCATGGGGTGGTGGAGCTCAGCAGGCACCTGCAGGGAAGGGTCCCACAGCCTCTCACTCACCTGCCCTATTGCTGCAGGGTAAAGGGGGCTCTCAGACCAGCTCCAGGGATTTACAGCAGCAACCACTCTTCTAGCTGGGTTTTAGCCACACACCTGAAACACTATCCCTCTTAAAACGGCAACAATACATTGTCTCAAGATTTTCCTTTTTCTAACAGCAAACTTTACACAACTCAGAGGAACGTTTATCTTTCAAGTGGCCCAACACTGAAAATGATACAATTAACTGCAAACTCCTACCAAAAAGTCCTCTCTCCTCAAAACCTGCTCCTACTCTCACTGCTTGCAAACTTTATACACCAGGTTTCCTCCTGTTTTCATAACTTGGCTTTTTTTTTTATCCCTGTTAAACATCAGTCTATTGATTTTTGTCTCAGTAGGTTTCTAAGAATAGTTCCAATGATGTTGATCCACCATCCAGAGCTGGATTTTCTACAAATCCAACAAATACAGAAGCACTACCTGCCCCTGGAAAGCAAAGAGCACGGGCTGCTCTCGCTCAGCCTCTGAAGGAACGTGACCAGGGAGAAACACACGTCCTGAGAAGTGCCGGAGTCTCCATTCAGCACAAGTCACCCACACTGTAAATGAAACAACACACTAAAATCAACTAAAAGTCTGAGGAGAGTCAAAGCAAACTATCTCCTCCATACAGCAACCTTCAAAAAAAACTGAGTACTTCAGCTTTGTAGTGCATAAGTCTTGAGTTTCATCCCAAAAAAGACTTTTGACAGCTCCAAGCCCTTATTCCTCGCAAAAACTTCACTCAAAACTAACTGGAGGCAAGAGAGTCTCTTTAGATCTAAGAGTTTTGCTGGCAATTTTGCTAAGCACAGATTTAATTCAGAGCATCCTGTTGTGATACAATTAAGAGGCCCGAGGTTAATGTTGTTTCTGAAATTTGCTAAAGCCCCTATCGCCATCAAGGTCATGTGTTCAAAACTGTCCTGAACAGTGCTGAACTATCCACCCTCTGTAAATTAAACATGCTTTACAGGTTTTGCTAACTTAATACATAATTCTAATCATCGATCACTATAGCATCTACTGCTCTGAGAACTGTAAAAGTAAAGACTACTGGGGAAGTAATGTTTTGGAATAAACCAAAACTAACTTCAGAACGTATCTCTTCTCATTAAGTTCTGTTAATCCTCAAAACCGGCCTGAAACGATGAAGTTTCTTGACTTGGGGTCTTCCCAGTTCTGACTAGTGGATTTGTTCAGCTATATATTAATGCTTATACTAGCCCAGACTGTATTTAAATGCAGGATGGCTTTGGCTGTGGTGAAGTGGTAAAGGAAATACTTGCTTATGTTTTGAGGGAATCTAAACAGGATTATGAGATAAATTATGATGCTCTCAGAGAGGAGACAGTCAAAATAGCTTTCTGCTTATAAATAAGTTTATCTTCTAACCATAAGGATAACAATCCTTACTTCAAATCACACAGTCAAAATAGCTTTCTGCTTATAAATAAGTTTATCTTCTAACCATAAGGATAACAATCCTTACTTCAAATGCAGCCATAAATGATTGTATTCTTGATCTCAAATCCATTTTTAAAAGGATGATATTGTTTTAGCAATAGATGGAACTGAGGCAAGGGAGGGGGGGGATCCCTTGTGTCCTGTTGCTCCCTACATGCACGTCCCTGGGCCCTTCCATCACCAAAGGGGACACAGGGAAGCCAAGCTTGTACTGGAGACGCACCTACACGGGTGGGTCACAGGAGACAGCCACAGGAGAAGAATTCAAGCTCAGAGCACATACCTGTTTCTTGCTGCACTGGTAAACGGATACCAGGTTAAGTATATTATAATTTACGTGCTGCTATTCATCACTAGGATTAATCCAAGCTCTGGGCTCTGCAATTAAGGTCTCATCATTCTTTTTGAGGGCCCTTTACCACAACCACAGCCAACCAGTCTTCATACAAGAAGAAACAGCAATCTCGCAGATATCATGCAGTCCAAAAGAATTCCTCCAGCGTTACATTCTGCATTGCTACCTTTACCTCACCTAGGACAGCTACGATTTTTTTCAAGCCTCTGAGTCCTCCTGTTGGAGAAAGCAATCCTAATTTCTTCCCAGAATTTCACCACCACCACCACCCCTGCACGCCACACCTCAACACTGCTGCTAATGCTTACTTTCCAAGCAGTAAGACTTCCAAAACAGCAGTGATTTAATGGATTTTTTTTCAAGGTTTCTGTCTTGCAGGGTTATAAATTGATCCCTGCCAAAATGCCCTCCACTTGGTTCAAACTTGCAGTACCAACCCCTTGTTCTCACAGTGTGTGACACTGTCACAGTGCAAAGGTGACTGTTCTCTCTGGTCGGATGCTGAAGCCTCTGCTATTTGTGGAGTAGCAATACACCAAGGAACCAAGTCTACATCATTTCCTTGCTCAAGTATAAAAAGGAAAAAAGAAAAACA